ATTTACTCTAGCTGAGAATCTGGCCTATTATATAAAGCCATTGTGCCATTAAAACTTGTATTATCAGGATGTGGTCCATCACTACCTGGCAATGACATGAAAGAGTTGGCCAAGATGGACACTTAAACCTACTACCAAAAAACAGTTTCCAGCTGCTTCCATCTATAGCACACAAAGGCCAACCAACAGCTTACCTTCCTGAATAGTCACAGACTGGATCATGATCCAAGTCTGTGTATCTAGGTGTTACGCTGGACCGTACCTTCACTTACCAAGTCTTCCCTTAAAATAAAGACAAGAAACAACATGATCAAGAAACTTGCTGAATCTACCCGGGGAGCCAGTGTGCAGATACTAAGAAATTCTGGTCTTGCCTTGTACTATTCTGTCGCAGAGTATTGCTCCCTGGTGTGGCTCAGCTGTTTTCAGAGAGGACTAGTAGACACTCAACTGAATGAAATCATGTTTATAATAACAGGTACCACGAGGGTGATTAATCTGGGCTGGCTATTGGTCCTGTCCAATATCATCTCTCCTGGCATCAAGCAGCAAGTTACCTTACAGAATTTGCTCCTGAAGTTGCAAAATGTGCCACCTCTATCCTTTTGGAAAGATGTGTTTAATCCACCTGGTGCATTTTAGCTCACAGTACCTATTTGAACAATTCCCCTAAGAGATTTTTTTGTTATGTTCAAGTGGCATACTCGGTGACAAGAACAAAGCTTCAAATATAGTCAATGACTATCTTGTGACAGGTCCAACAGTCCAGTCCCCTGGTTTCGACCTTCCATGCCATCTTTGGGTAAAGCTCAATCACTTGAGAGGTGGGGTGATTAGATGTGTCACTAATGACTGTAAGTGGTGTCTTTGTGACTTTTCCCTTTGCCACTGTGGCCAGTTAGAAGATGTAGACCATGTACTTTCAGGCTGAATCTATCAGCAAGGGCTTGTTGGTTCCCTCATGGACTTGCATAATGCCCTTTCTTCAGCTACTGAATGGTTAAGATACTTAGGCTAACACATTTGGTTTGACTGTCCATGTAGAAGCAATAGCAACATATATAGCACCTGGTCATCTTACTTAAAGATTGTTCTTCCTTTTACCCTCCATCCATCTATCTGTCAGTTTTGTCTTATTTAGAGTTTAATCTCTCAGGGGCAAGGTAGTATGTCTTTGCTTGTATTTGGAAAGTGCCTACCAAGCACACTGAGTGAAGAAGCATTCATTCAAACAGGATAAGTGTTTTCTTCCTGATTTAACTTGAGTCAAGTTATTTACTGTCAAGAGAATAGATACATTTTATGAATAGAAAGGATTTTTTCCCCACTAGACCTGTTAAACCGATTCGTTTTACAGCTTGACAAGGAACCAAGTCATCCACTGCCTGGAGTAAAGCACTTAAATCATCAATAAATGGCCATTTTGCCCTGCAAAGAGAGTTGAGTTCACTTCTCTAGACTCCATATGTCATTCCTCAAATGGGCAAAGGTTGGCAGAGCTGCAGAAGTGGCACGCTCAGCTCTGGGAGTGATATGGTGGAGCACAGTGCCTGTGAGTCTGTTAGGTCATTCAAAGGGTAATGCTGGCAGGTTCCAAAGAGAGTCCTATCCAGTAGCACGGATTCAATCATCTGTGTCTCTGATTTACGGACTTGCAGGGAGGTCTAGGTCTGGATTACAGGAGTTCGCAGAAGGTACAAATCTGTGTAGATCCACTGTCCAGTTCATTGCTTGCTGGAATGAGGGGAAGTGAAAATTATACACTCAGTGACACTATGCTGTTGAGATAACTAGAAGGTCTGCACATTTTTTTTGCTCCTGTGGGCATAATTCATTGCACATACCAGGGGCTCCTTTCATCCCTCCATTCCCCCACCCCAAAAGCTTCCTGTGTGCCACTCTCCCATCCCCCTCTAATTCAGAGACTCTTTGCAACCCCTCTTCCCCATGCCAGGGGTTCTATGTGTGTCCCCAATCCCCCTTCTGCTACATGCCATGTCCCCATGTCCCTCTCCCCCTATACCATTGGTTCCCATTCTCCTCCCCATGCCAGGGGTTCAATGTGTCCCCTCATTTCCTCCTTCCCTCCATGGCTCCATTCTCACTTCCCCATCATGCCAGGGGCTCTGTGTATCCTCCATATCCCTCTCCCCTCATAGCATTATTCATCATTCTTCCCTCCATGTCAGGGGCCTTGGTGTCCCCGCTTTGCTGCCATGCCTCTCATTCCTCCTTTCCCACCAGAACAGGGTCTCCCATTTCCCCCCTGCTCTGGGGGTTCTCTGTGTACCCCCTTCTCCCTCCCCCTCATATCCTTCCTTTCCCCACCATTAGCTTTAGAGTCAGAGTGGAGATTGGCTGTTACCTGTGGGATCACAATGGTCTAGGACTCTTGGTGTGGCATAGATACATCACTTCTTGTAGCTGAACACCACCCGGGTGTAATTCATAGAACCAAAATTGCTGAGAACTTAAAAATTGGATGGTAACAGACAGGAAATCCCAGTGATGATGGAACCTGGTGATATTCTGAACAAAAAAAGCTCTCAGCCATGCCTGTAGCTGTTTCCATTGCTTCTCACTGACTCTACAGATGCAATAGGCTTCAGCGTGACACACACAGAGTGTGACAATCCCGGAATCTTATTATACAGAGTAGGGGAAGGACATGTAACAAGAGGAAGCATGGCCTTGTCATTAAGGGGCTGGATGAAGATCTGGGATCCATTCCTGGCTGTCCTACTGATTCTCTGTGTGACCTTGTCTGAGTTACTTACTCTTTTGGTGCATCAGTTGGCATCTGTAAAATGGGGATAATAATGCTTCCTTCCTCCCACCCTCTTGTCTTGTCTGTTTAGAGTGTAAACTCTTCAGGGCTGGAACTGTCTCTTACTATGTGTTTGTATAGTTCCATACATAGTGGGCTCCTAACTGAGATTGGGCACTACAATAAAACAAATAATTATAATAATTAATAAGAAATATAACCTAGTACAACTGTTGGTTTTTAATTCATCAACCATCCACTTCTTCTTAGAAACAATTCCAGGTATCTCTTATATTCATTTCTACTTTTTCTCCCTTTAGTTACTTAATCAACTCATTCTTTTTAATTCTCACCATCTGTATTTTTGAAATCATTGATTTTTACTCACCCTGGTTGTGGTGGATTCTTGAAAGTCTTTAAATCAAGGCTTTCTAAAAGCTGTGGAAGCTGTGGCCTTGATGCTGAAATTACTGGGTGCGAGTTCTATGGACTGTATTAAGCAGGAGGTCAGACTAGATGCACAACTCTGCACATCTATGAATCTATGATTTTTTTCTCTTTTTCAGTGAGAACTAATTCAACTTCCTGAGCCTTCCTTTGTAACTTATTTGTTGAAATCTAATATCATTTTTGAGCTATCTTCTAGTGCACTCTCTCCAAGTCAAGAGTATTCTCCCTGTGGTACAGTGATCAGCACTATATACAGTATTTTGAGTTGCAGCGTTGGAAGGCTGAAGGTTCTCCTGAAATTGAACAGCAAAATGTGGTACTATAGCCAAATCCATCAGATAACTGCAAAGGTATTTCTGCTGGAAACAAGGCATCATTGAAGAGGAAGAATATGCAGCAATTGTGGTCTAGTCTTCTAGGTCTGCAAAAAGGAGGTTGGAAATCCTTGTGGAGTTTGTTTGGATTTTTCTGGAATACTGTGCGCAATTATGCTCTCCTATGTTTAAGAAAGATTAATTCAAATTGGAGCAGGTGCAGAGAAGGGCTACTAGGATGATCAGAGGAATGGAATACCTACCTTATGAGAGGATACTCAAGGAGTTTGGCTTGTTTAGCCTATCCAAAAGAAGGCTGAGGGGAGATATGATCGCTCTCTGTAAATACATCAGAAGGATAAATATCAGGGAGGGAGAGGAGTTATTTAAGTTAAGTGCCAATGTTGACACAAGAACAAATGGATATAAACTGGCCATCAACAAGTTTAGGCTTAAAATTAGATGAAGGTTTCTAATCATTGGAGTAGTGAAGTTCTGGAACAGCCTCCCAATGGGAGCAGTGGGGCAAAAAACCTAACTCGCTTCAAGCCTGAGTTTTATAAGTTTATGGAGGGGATGGTATGATGAGATTGCCTGCAACTACTAGTAGCAAAAATCCGCAATGGGCAGTGATGGGGAGGGCTCTGAGTTACTACAGAAAATTCTTTCCCAAGTGTCTGGCTGGTGGGATTTGCTGACATGCTCAGGGTTCAACTGGTTGCCGTAATTAGGATCAGGAAGGCATTTTCCTCCAGGTCAGATTGGCAGAGACCTTAGGGGGTTTTCATCTTCCTTTGCAGCATGAGACCTGGGTCACTTGCTGGCTTAAACTAGAGTAAATAATGGATTCCCTGTAACTTTTGAAGTCTTTAAATCATGATTTGAGGACTTCAGTAACTCAGCCAAAGGTTACAGTGCTACTAGACGAGGGGGTGAATGAGGTTCTGTGGCCTACAATGTGCAGGAGATCAGACTAGATAATCACAATGGTCCCTTCTGGCCTTAAAATCTATGAGTCTATGATACTTCACATGATTGTAACGGTGTAACGGACAGCAGAATGTACATTTGTATGTCTGTGCTTGAGATATGTAAGTAGATACTGCTGCAGCTGTGGAAATGATGTGCTTTATAGCATTCAGCCTCGTTTGCTATATGCATATGGGTAATTAATAGTAACAATCCCCTTCCAAATCACGATTTCCTCTGTCTGGCAGTTGCATGATCTTTCCTCTCCTTTCTTCCTTCCTTCCAACCAGCAGGTGTGTGTGTGTGTGTTGAGAAATTTTTAAGATTCTATTGATCAAATACTTAGTAACACTTTTCTTGTACATTTAAACATCATCATTAAAGAAATATATTTTTAAAATAGGATAATAATAGATTAAATTGAATATTTCATCATAATCTATATCACTGATTTGGAAAAAGCAGCCCAATAACTTACTTTTCTCTGTTGTCTCCCATAGGGTGCAGCTTTAATTCGAATGTTGGCTAATTTTATGGGTCACTCTGTATTTCAGATGGGCTTACAAGTAAGTAGAAAGCATTCTGTCTTTTTTATGTGTATCTGTAACCTTTGGCTATTTTTTGTTTGTTTTTAAGCAAGTATTTGATAGGAAGCATTAGTTTGTATAACATCAGAGCCATCACTCCAGCAAATGAAAGAATTCTCAGTGTGTCAAGTGCCACACAGTTTCACTTTCATTTGGTATACATCACCAAGTGGAAATCATTTTCAGATATGTAAGAACTTGATTATCCATCACTGAAAGAGCTTGCTGAGGCAAAAGCCACTTTGCTTCAATTACATTTAAATTTTAATATAAAATAAAAATGAACTATGTCAATCTCACTAGAAAATATGTGGCTGCGAAGCTAATCATATTTTACAGATAAATACTCCCCCCTGCCCCATCAAAACCCTGGAGTTTTACTTTTACCTTTGATGAACATGGAGTGCTCTTTGCCTTAATTATATTTTGAAAACTCTCTCTGCCTTTTAAAAGAGGTTTGAAGAAATAACACTTCTGTTCAAAGAGAGAGAGAAATTCACTGTGCTGGTAACCAAGGATGAACTTTTTCAGCAGTAATTCAGAATCCCGTTATATTTCGTAAACCATTCCAACAAACCAAACATAAAAAAATTCAACTCCCTTTATTTCTGTTTAAGTAATAAGAAATCTGTTAAGAAATCTGTTTAAGTAAATCATGTTACAGGCAACTGTGATTGATGAATTATGTATGATGCAGTCTGCTACTTAGAAATGTCCTTTAAAGTAAATTGATGTTCACCTGAAATACAATTATGCTAAGATGGAAAGAGCAATCAATCTTATCTGTTCTTAGTAAGCTTTTCATTTTGAAATTTAAATAAACTACATATGGGATCAGGTCATATTTTAACACAGTAATTCTACCTCTAACCAAAATGGATTGAAAGATAAAATATAAAATAAAAGTTAAATAAATACACTGGTTATGTCATATAAATATGTATTTAATGTGATATACAATGAAAAGAATCCCATTGAGGAAATGTCGCTTTTCTAGAAAGTTTGCAGGACTTTGATCAATCAAGCTTTGGAAGATAACTGGGTCACGGTAGCCAGAAGGCTCTTTTCAGGTCACTGGCCTTATCTTCAACCCCAGACAATAGGCCTTCATCTGGAAGGGTTTCCAGGCACAAACTTGTGCACATAAAGGGCGAAATCCTCACCCTATTAAAGTCATTGGAACTTTTGCCATTGTCCCAAAGGAGCCAGAAATTCACCCAGAAATTTTTCCCTGTTAATATAGAAATTTAAAGTGCTAGACACTTGACATTTAAAATTTGTAATTGAAAATATTCCCCATCGAAGCCTGCCCATGCAGAAAGTTTTCTTCACTCAAACATCTTCCGAACAAAAGTTTTAAACTCTTGCGATGCATTGTCAAAAAATGTTACCTTGGCATACATGATGGAGAACAATGTAGTAATGATGAAGAATGTAAAAAGCTTTAGTATCACAACAGTCCATGCAACATAAATCAAATTGATTAGCCATTTACTGTGCATGTATTGCCATTGAAATCAAGGTATTTCTCAGTGTTTGTATGGGTAGCTGAATTATACCTTAAGTAAAGAACAGATGAAAGAAGAATGATGGTAACAAGCACTGGGGGGTACGGAGAGGGAAGGGCCAGGCTAGCTCCTTTCTTTTCTCCTTATTCCTTTATTTTTTCTTATCATAATTGCATACCATCACCAGGTATGTGTTTTCTTTCTCATAATACCTCAACAAAAATCCTTTACTTATCAAAAAAGCAATTGATTTTGCTAAAATGAATTAGAAAAAAAGATGATAAAGACAAAAGAGTGGGCTTTTTGTTAGATACATCTGAACAATGAATGCACACTAAAGCAACTGCCATAGCATAGAGAGCTATATGACCCTGGTATCCAGCAAACCATTTGTGAGGGGATAGAGAGCAGGCGGAATTACAGTATGAAGTACTGATTTTCACAGCATACATTGGTTTGAACCTATCACGAGTAACTGGCCTGTTTCTTCAGATATGCTTGTGAAAGGCCATTGAATTATAATGTTGGACCTCCATGATGAAATTTTAATCAAGAAACAATAGAATGAAAGTATATTATTCTGTAAAGCTTCAAAAGATGTGCACTGCTTTTAATTTTGTGAGATTTTCAAACACATTTTTATAATAGAGACTTAATTTTGTCAACTTCTCAATATTTTCATATTATAGCACCTGTGATAGACCCAGACCAGTTGGGAACAGGAGAGTAGCAGAAGGGAGATATACTGGTCACTGGATAAGTAGTTTTCTCTTCCCTGAGTGACCAGAGCAGGGGCTGCTCCAGGCTAATAGACCACCTGACTCCAATTAACCTGCTAAGAGTCAGGTGAGGCAGTTAAGCACCTGACTCTAATTAAGGCCCCTCTGATGCTATAAAAGGGCTCACTCCAGAGAAGCCAGGGGGAGCCAAGGAGCCAGAGGAGAGGAAGTGAGTGTGAGGAGCTGGGAGCAAGAGGTGCAAGAAGCTGAGAGTGAGAGGGTGTGCTGCTGGAGAACTGAGGAGCACAAGCGTTATCAGACACCAGGAGGAAGGTCCTGTGGTGAGACTAAGGAAGGTGTTTGGAGGAGGCCATGGGGAAGTAGCCCAGGGAGTTGTAGCTGTCATGCAGCTGTTACAAGAGGCACTATAGACAGCTGCAGTCCACAGGGCCCTGGGCTGGAACCCGAAGTAGAGGGTGGGCCCGGGTTCCCCCCAAACCTCCTAATTGACCTGGACTGTGGGTTCTTCCAGAGGGGAAGGTCTCTGGGCTGTTCCCCAACTCACATGGTGAATCTCTGAGGCAAGAAAATCTGCCAATAAGCGCAGGACCCACCAAGATAGATGAGGAACTTTGTCACACACCCCATATACAAAACCCCCACAAACACATTTATATTGGATGTGATGAATAACTGAGATTAAAAACTGTAAAGCCCACATATGTGAACTTGGGGGTGCTAGAAAAACAAAGCTGTTATTTAAGTACCTAACATCATTTAATAAAACCACTTTCTTCCCTAGTGGAGTTCTCTGTCTCTTTGGAAGTCCTGAGAATCCCGTTATTTTTTCCCACACTTCTTAAAGACCCCCACTTTTGAGCTTTCATCAGATAAGAATTATCCATAAAGCAATGCCGCTCCTATATTACTCAGAGGGGTCACTTTTCAGTGAGATGAGGCATGTACTGGCTCCTTTCCCACAAATGACCTGATGTTGAATGTCCTTTCATGCCAGCAAGGTTGTTGTGCTCTAGCATCGATGTGAGTTGAGGCTATGCATGGGCACTGAATGGTAGCAACCCTCACTAATAAGTGGTGATACCTTTTCTCGGTCTTGAAAGGCTATTATGTTCGCCACTATGACTACCAGACAGTGGAGAGGCTTGGTCAGCATCACTCTCTCTGATAATGTTTCTGAACTGCATAAGCTTGTGGAGTTGGATTTGTTGAGTTAGTTTCAGCATTCAGTCACCACCGAGGACAGTAACTTGTAATATAGGTTTAGATTTTGGGTGGGATTTTATCTGTAAATGTTGTTTCGTATGTGAGTACTTGGAATGGATGTGTTATTTATATGATTTTGTATCACTGAATTTCATTTATTGGAAAGGTTTATTGCTACAAGCCTAGAACACCTTTCTGTGTTATCAGTGACTTCTCATGTTAAATGTGGATAGTAAACACAGTAGTTCGGAGGTCTAGTGTTGTGTTCAAAGAGGCATCCACTGGCATCTCAAGCTCCCTTATGAGGCTCTTGTGTGCTAGTTCATTCATATTTATTTTATACTTGGTTTGATTATTTCAACATTACATTTCATTTGTCATCTGGCAGCTCATTGATCATACAAATCTGTATCCTTTTGAACTTCACTTGCTGCTGTATTTGTGTTCATCACTCACTCTGATTGAGTGCATCATCAGCAATTTGGATTAGTTTACTGTAGGAACCTCAGGCTCTATGATAAATTATCACTTTATGTACATTAAATTGTACACGGTATATCTGGGAGAAGACCTTTTGTACGGTCCCTTGGATAGACGTAATGACTTGGTGCTGAGTGGTCACTATATTGAAACTGATAGGCCAACCTTTTAGAAGAGCAGTCTAGGGAAATGTGGAATATAGGCTATTTTTCACTACCATAAAAGTTGCCATTTGGACCAAGCTCCTTTCATCTGTAGTATTTATTCACAGCTCTTTAAACAATTATGCATTCCTGTGTTCCACGCTGAATTATTGTGGCTCTTAAATTATGCAACAGTCTGGCATGTGGAACTCTGTCGAAGTCTTCCTAAATTTCAAATAGATCATTACGCTGTACACTATTATCTGACTTGTTTATAACCTCCATTCAAGAGTCTAGAAGGAGTAGATTCACCTTTCCTTATCCATGTGTTCTACACTTTCATCTGTTAACATTAAAAGCAAGACAAAAAACATCTTCTGGAGCTGACCCACTGCCACTGCATGTCCGAGATCATGCGGGAACAATAATGTCAACAAGAGTGCCAGCACCTACTGCCTTCTCTGACCTTACTCCAATTCTAATATTCTCACTATCTGTCACTCTTGATGTTGAGATTATTCTAATTAAATGAATTCACCTCTAAAGTTTTTCTTTAAAGGGACTCGTATTTTTTTCTTAAGAGTTAAGTAAGTGAGCAAAAATACAGTCTTGAAAGACTTGTATAAAACACTATTGATTTAATATTTTTTCCTATAAAATATAAAAATGTGTAGCATATTATTGGCCTATTCAGAGGCCATTGAAGTCAATGAGAGTCTTTCCATTGACTCCAGTGGGCTTTGGATCAGAATGTATCTACATATTACAAACACAAAATATTTGTTAAAAGAACATTACTAAGGTCTCAAAGTCAAGCACTCAAAAGTTAGGAAATGCCAAAATTAAGATTTCCTATTCAATCGTAACTTGGTCCCCTTTTGCATATAATTAGAGACTGTTGCATA